CAAATGTATCACCTAGAACCTAAATAAACTATAGAACATTTGCAACAAATACAGATTAGGAGAAAAAAAAAACAAGGTAAATGTAGTGTGATTTTGGAGAGCCGCAAAATATTCTTCCTATCGCAACCCAGGTTTCCATCATAGGTTTTTGAAATATGGAAGGGGCAGAACTGGACCCAGAAGAGACCATCCTCACCCTCCATCTTTGCAGCTCTGCTAGCTAAATTCAATGGCAACGTCAGGTTCTGTGAAAACCCCCATGGGAGGAGTAAGCTCAGGACACATTAAGCTATTGCAGAGGCACAGTGAGAATGGTCTATCTTGCAAGATGTCCTTAAGCATGTCAGGAGAGGGATATGGAATAGCATGAGACAGTCCCTAGGATGAGTGATGTTGAAATAGAGCCTTTTCAGCACTTTTAATAAACATTTACTGAATTTCTAGCGTGAGACACCATCTGCCTTAAGCATGGGCAAAATTAAGCTCAGTGTCTTCTCCCTAGGATCTCATAGTCTATTTAAATGAGAGAAACATCAACCATGGTTCAATGTGATCAGTTAGAGTAGATATAAAGTTCTGCCGAAGCAATGACTCCTCCTTTGCCTCATTTCCCATCCTTCTGAAAAAGGATCGGGGAAAGTCATAGAATAAGGTGATGTTTAGAGGCTCTTTTGGAAGGATGGATGTTTACCATGAAGAGAATAACAAATGGAAACAGGAGGAATCATAGCAGAGGTATGAAATTGAATGGAGGGGCAGAAAATGACAAATAGTAGTCCAATGTGACTACAGAGTAGTCGGGGAATCAGAGACAAGACTGCAAAGACAGTCCCGGTTTCAACTATGATGAGTCTTATATATCAGGCTAAAAAGGAATTGATCTTTATTTCATAAGCAGTGGGGAAGCAGCAAAAGGCTGTAAACAGAAAAACTGTATGATTGGGTCTCTTTTATATCATATTGGAGGTCACAAGAGGTTAAATATGGAAGGGGCAGAACTGGACCCAGAAAGAGCACTTAGGAGACACAGAGATGATTAGTCTCGTGCCCTTCTCTGGGGTACTTGTATGGTGAGCACTAGATACCGATGTCAGAGATACTTACTTAGATGCTAGCAATATTTTTTACCCAATAGAAAAAATTAACTTAATATTCATTCATCAGAGTTATTAAGTATGTATTATGTACTTGGTTCTTAATGTGTTCAGGACCTAGAGCAATGTGGAATTAATAACACATTGCCTCTGCTTTGTAAGGAACTCAGTCTAATCAGAAGCAAACTGTATATGCATGAGAAGTAAAATAACAGGATAGTTAATTAAGTATCAAATGGGTGTCACAACAATTTGGTGCAATAACAGTTAAAAGGAAAGAGCAATAAGGACTGGCTGTGATAGTCAGGAGGCGGTAGGACTGAGGTTGGTCCTGAAAAATAGGAAGAATCTGGAGAGGCATGAATTCACAGATAAGTAAAACAGATGGACAAGTAAATAAATGTCAGCATAGTGTGATGTGACAATAGCAGCATGCTTGGGGATCACAGAGAGGAGCACAGAAATCAGAAATGTATGATGGGCAGAAGGTTTAGTTTTCAGAAGAGATGTCCTTTGAGCTGAGTTTTAGTGGACAAGTAGAGAACAGCTATATTAAAAGGAGAAAGAGGCACACATGCAAAGGAACAGAGACATTAAGAATTTGATGAGTTCAAGCAACTAGATGGGGACTGCAAATACTGCACACGGGTAACAGGATAGATTAGTTTGTCTCTGATTCCCTCACTCCAGTGTAGTCACATTGGATGTGTTTGTAGGAGGGACAGGAAACAAGGCTAAAAAGGAGCAGATGGACCAAAAGGTCCTAACCTTTTGGCGAAGGACCTTGTGTACTAATATAAGAAGCTTAAATTTGATCACGAAAGGTATTGGAGGATTGTCAGCTTGAGGGTGAACAGTGACATGATCCAATTTGTATTTTAGGAAGATCATTCTAGAAATAGTATAGAACTACTTTGAGTGTCTGACTAGAAGGTGATATCATTCACTAAGGAAACATAGGAGGAGCAGACTGGGAAGAAAGATTTTGAGTTCAAATTTTTCACGTGTTGAGCTTAAAGTGTGTATTTGTTAACACACAAACTTGATGGCTTCAAACGACAGAAATTGGATGTCCAAGAGTTCCGGAGGTTAGAAGCCAAAAACCAGCAGGCTTGGTTCCTTCGGAGGCTATAGGGGTATATCTGCTCCATCCCTCTTTCTTAGCTTCTGGTAGCAGTTGGCAATTATTGGTATTCCTTGCCTCGTAGAGTGATCACTACAATCTCTGCTTCTATGTTCATATCATCTTTGTGTGTATGGAAGGGGCAGAACTGGACCCAGAAAGAGCACTTAGAAGACACAGAGATGAGGGTTAGTCTAGTACCCTTCTATGGGGTACTGTATGGTGAGCATTAGATACCAATGTCAGAGATACTTAGATGCTAGTAATATTTTTTAACCCAACAGAAAAAATTGAAATATTCATATGAAATATGAATATTTCAGGGAATATTAATAAGAAATATTCAAGGGAGACACAAACATTCAGTCTATAACAATCTGCAAAGAGCCTGTTTCAAAGTAACACCACATTCACAGATATTGGAGGTTAGGGATATGCCTTTTTGCAGGGCACTATTCAAACCACTGCAAAGTGAACAAAGGGATAAGTGTCTTCACAATCTGACTTGTACTACAGCCCTGGGGAGCTCTGTTTTGTGCTTCCAAATGCTAATATCATGCAACAGGCAAAAGAAAGTACAAAATTAAAGGCTGTGGTGTATGGCAGAAAGGGCACTTATGGACTTAGATTCAATACTGGCACTTGAATAGTTGAAAATATGGTCAGCCATTTAACCTCTACAAGCCTTGATTTCTTCATTTGTAAAAGAGGAATTGCCAGGCATGTAGTTGACTTTAAAAATCATTATTTCAGGGGGGAAAAAAAAGGTGACGATAGTACATTTGAAAATGATCCACATTAAAATGTGGTCATGTGAGTAAATTGGATCTCTTTAAAAGAGAATAGAGGCCGGGCACAGTGGCTCACACCTGTAATCCCAACACTTTGGGAGGCCGAGGCAGGCGGATCACGAGGTCAAGAGATGGAGACCATTCTGGCCAACATGGTAAAAGCCCATCTCTACTAAAAATATAGCATGGTGGTGCATGGCTGTAGTCCCAGCTACTGAGGAGGCTGAGGCAGGAGAATCACTTAAACCTGGGAATGTGGAGGTTGCAGTGAGCCAAGATCACACCACTGCACTCCAGACTGGTGACAGAGCAAGACTACATCTCAAAAAGAGAGAGAGAGAGAGAGAGAGAGAGAGAGAGAGAGAGAGAGAGAGAATAGAAATTGGCATTAAGAATAGTGGGATGTCCTGTCAGAGATGGACATTAGTGATGAGGAGGGAATCTAAGAGAAGGTGATGTTCAAATAGCCAAAGGGGCATTTGGTTTCAGGAAGATTAGCTATCAGGTATCTCACCACCTAAGTGGGAGGGTAGTTGGCAAAGCAAGTCGGGGGTTAGAAACTGGGATACTGGGCAGATGTCAAAGATATTTATTAAGTTTAATTACTGTGCTAGACATTGGAGATAAAACGATGAGTAAGACACCTACTTTCCAGATAGAACACACCATCTTTTGAAGTCAGCAGGTAGACAAGATAAAAATACAATGCAATGTGAAGTGCTACAAAAGGCTAGATACAGAGTTAGGGAAGAGATCTGTGGGAGCCTCTGAAGCCTTTAGAGAAAATATGTTTGAACAGATTCTTGAAGGACAAATAAGAGTGTGTGCACCAGGGAAGAAAACTTTCCCAGCAGAGAGAAAAAGGCAAAGCTTAGGAATTAAGAACTAGTAGACAAGAACTCAGATCAGTCAAAAGCCCATGTGCAAATTGATCAATGAAGTCACAGGAAGAATATTAACACAGAGCCTTACTGCTGACTCCTGCATCATTGGGCGTTAACTTACAGCTTTCCTACCTAAAATGCAGGTTTGTCCCAGAGACTCAGAGAGGAGTGAGTCTAGAGATATGAGTCAAGTGGTTCCAGCGTTTGGGAAAAAAGAAATGCAGACAGACTGATGACCAGCTAGGTGCTGACATTAGCCAAAGTTAGGGAAAAAGGGGAAAAGATTACAGAATTTACTATGTGACAGATTATCTCATTTAAACTTCACAGCAATCCTCTGATGTAAAAGTAGAGCAGCGAAATAACAGCTCAGATTATCAAAAAGCAAAACTGACCTAATTCCAAGAGAAAGGAAGCCGTCACCAGCTGGTCTCTTTGGTGCTTCCTGCTGAGTTAGACAGTACTAGGGCCTAAAGGTGCTTACTAGAGGTCATTCAGCTACATGAGGGGCAGTTTCTGCACCTTGGTTGTTACTGACTTCACTGCACTTTTTTTTTCCAGCTAAAATGATTATTGGATTATATCTACAACAGGGAACAATGAATGTGTACTCAACTCGCAGATTTGAGTGGCTTCCCGGTGTGCAGTAAATGTCCGTTCAGTTAGGTTCCCAAGGATATACATGGTAACGCTATCTCCAATACTTAATGGAAAAACCCAGTATCACAGGAAAAAAACATTAGACTTCATAGTCCTCCAAATTTAAGCAGCCTGAAGTGATTCAACGTCCTCTTTGAAGACTCTCAGTCTGCAAGCCTCCAGCCGCCTAAGTGACCATTTGTTCACTTCTGCCCACGCAGTCACCACGCCGGTCAACGTCCACGTGTGGTCTTGATATCGGCCGCTCCCACCCTAGCCACGGAGACCTTGGCCCGAAAAGCAAGGAGGGCGTCACAGCACGAGATGGCACCGACCTTTCGGCGATGGGGAACGGAATGGAAGGGGAGAAGCGTCCTCGGTTTTTGAGGGTGCCCTTTCCGAGGAATCTACAGGCGGCGCGAGGCGGCGTGGAATCCCCATAGGCCCCTTCTGGCCCCTGCGCGATACCACGCGCCTGAGGCCACGGTCCTAGGTTCAGGAGCCGCGGCGAAGCCTGAGCCCTCAGGCCCGGGATGCGGGTCGTCTAGGGTGCGGGTCGTCTGGGGTGCAGGCTGGGAAGGGGAGGGTGTGCACGGCGGGTCCCCCCAGTCTCCGCCAGGGCGCAGGCGCAGGCGAGCGGGGTGCGGTCGCGGCGGGGCGGGCACGGCCGGGCGGGGAGCGCAGCGGCGGCGGCGGGCGCGGGAAGATGGCGGCAGCGGCGGCGGCGGCGGCGGCCGAGCAGGTCTGTGAGCCCCGCCGCGGCCGCGGGCTGGAGGAGCGCGGGGGGCCGGGTCCTGCTGGCTGGGCCCGCGGGAGCGCCCGCGGGGGGTGCGGGCCGCGCGGGCGGCAGGGTCTGGGCTCGTCGTGGCTGATCGGGGCGGGGCGGGGCGGGAGGAGCTGTCCGCCGCCGAGGATGCTGGCACAGGCTGGGGACCCGGAGCCTGCGGCGGCCTCGGCCCGGCCTGGCATGACTGACTGACCCTTAGCGAAGGTGAGGAGGTATCTCAGTCCAGAGAGCCTGGGAGGTGGTCGAGCCAGCCTGGAGCCTGCGCTGGGCCATGTCAGGGACGGACCCTGTGCAGCATCCAGCAGAGATTGAGATAAAAATAACCTCAGCCGTAGCCAGCAGGCTCCCCTGACACCAGCCAAGAAACGGTCAGCTGTTGCCCGGGTGTCAGCTTGCAGCCACTTTTTGTTTCTGCCATCTCCAATACGCAGACATCCCAGATATCCCTTCCCGCTTTGGTTTTTGAAGATTTAGTCATCAGTCTAAAACTATCTCCTGTCCACTTTTAAAAATGATTTATCCAAGATTTCCTGGCCTGCATTGTAAACTTGTAACTTAGGATGGTTTAAAAGGCTCCCTATTCCCCCCAAAATCTAGCTATACGTATACATACATGAACATGAATATGGCTGTGTACACATGTATCTATGTATTAATATATACATACACGTAATCGCTAGGGTGATTTATTATAATACAGATAATTTTTCAGTCACTTTCCCCCTTAACTATTGTTTTCCTTTAAACAATTAGAGTAGTTTCTCTTGACAAAGTCTCATTCTAAAACATTGTTGGAAAAAAAAGGAGTCACGTTTTTAACATTATTTGACCTTTGGAAATACTATGCAGCCATTTCTTAGATAATTAACTTTTTAGAGACCTAATGGGTATATGTGACTGGAGGGCTCATTCTAAAAATAAAAGGTGTAAAATCTGCCTTCAAGTGGCTTAAAGTCGAACAGCCAAATACATGCAGGTAAATCAGCTAAATACAATAGACAAACTGCAGATTCGTAACAGTTAAATAAAACGTAGAGAAATGAGTGAAACTGGAAGGAGGCAAAACTTCTTGGAGTTGTTGAGATTTAGATTGTTCCTTGGCTTTTCTCATTTCCCACCTAAATTATCAGCTTCTGTTTCAGATGATTCTTTTTCCATCTGGTTCTATTTTTGCTTTACGCATAAGTGGGGCAGTCTGAGCCATTCCAATTTGTGCATTATGCCTCAGCCCTGAACTTTACTGAATTATCCATAGGTATCTCAAACTCAAAAATGTTCAAAACTGGACTCCGTCATATTTCCTGTTAAAAAGGCTACAACCATCTATTCACTTGGTTAACCTAGCCAGAAACTTAGAACCAAGGCTAGTGTAAGGGAGCTGAGAAGGACCTGCACTTGGTTTAATGTTCTGCTTTTGTGGGCTTGATATTTAAACAGTGAGACCCAAATTTTCTTTTTCCCCTGGGCCCCACAAATTATATACTCAGTCCTATTTGGGAGTGATCTTTGACCCCTTTGTGCCACACTCATATCCAAATAATCACCAGATCCTAAAAGTTCTACCTCTTTAACACCTCTCCCCAGTCTTCAGCTTCAAAGTCAAACCTCACTGGGACTCTTTTTTTTTTTTTGTATGTATGTATTTTTATTATTTTTTATATTATTATACTTTTAAGTTCTTGGGTACATGTGCAGATCATGCAGGATTGTTATGATAGACTGGATAAAGAAAATGTGGCACATATACACCATGGAATACTATGCAGCCATTAAAAAAGGATGAGTTCATGTCCTTTGCAGGGACATGGATGAAGCTGGAAACCATCATTCTCAACAGACTGACACAAGAGCAGAAAACCAAATACCACACTGGGACTCTTAGAGAAGCCCACTCTGGAATCTTCATCTCTAGCCTCTTCAGTTCCAGTTCATGTCTTTTTGGAGTGATTTTGCTGCAGTGCAAGTCTGATTGTATTAGAAACCTACTTTAACTGTTCAGCATTCCCCTTTGACTTCAGGATAAAGTCCATTGTTCTTGTCGTGGTATTTATGTCACTGACTGGCCCCTAAGCACATCTCTCACTATATTTCTTGCTTCATCCCTATTCCCAGCCTTCTCACCATCCACATAAAGTGACCAAAATTAGTTCTCCCAGAGATGATTTGCTCTCAAAGTCTCCATGCTTTTTCCTCTGCCTAGAATGGCCTTCTCGGCTCTTTTGCCTGGTTAACTCCTGTCCATCCTTCAAGAGTCAACTCAAGTCAACTAAGCTCTTCTTAGAAACCTTCCCTGATGCCCTTGCCTGCTAGGTGAAGATGCATTCCTCTTCTGTACCCTTTCCACATGGTATGCATTGCTCCACTGCAGCACTTGCCATGCTGTATAAACTGTTAGTGACCTTGTCTGTCTACCTGCCTGGCCTATAATTAAGTTTCTTGAGAGTGGACACTATGTTCATCCTGGTAGTTTGGAGCACCTGGCTTATAGTAACTAGTAAGTGTTAAGTGCATCAAGATGAAGACAGTAATTTGCATGGATTGGCAGAGAAGAGTAAAGAATACATCTCAGCAGGTGTCAATTTTGTCCTTTCTCTTTTTTTTGTGGACCTATATTCAAACTCTGGCTAAGACTTTTAAGTCGCCCATTTGTTAGGGTTGTCAGAAGCCCATGCTGAGGTTCTTTTTTGGAACCTGACTACAAATTCAGTTAAGTCTTCTCTTAAAGTATTAATCTGTCCTTTTTAATTCCACCTTAGTTTAGGTCCTCTTACCTCAAATGTCCATTACTACAACATCCCCAGCAGCTTACTTACTGGTGCTCTTCTTTCCTCTCTCTCCCAAGTGCCCACACATTTAACATTCTGAAATATTGGTCATTTCTGCTCAAAGACCTCCAGTGACTCCTAATTAAACACAGCGTAAAGACTAGAATTTGTACCATGCTGTCCAAGAACTTTCACAATGTGGCCCTACTTTTCCAACTTCCTCTTCCCTGCCTTGCCATATCTGACCCGTCTACTCCTCCTCATTTCCCTAACAACTCCAGGTCATCCTGTCTCTCCTTCCTTTGAACTCTGCAGTGTGTATTGCCTATTTATTTTGGCACCCCAACACACAGAGTGATTTATTGCATTGTTAACTATTTTATGTTAACATGTACACAAATCATTTCTGTTAATACATAGAAGATAAGGATCCTTTCCTATAGTTCTTTTGTATTCCTGTCTATGGAGTTCGTGTTTAAGCAAAAAGTGCTTAATCCATACCCATTCAACAACTGAATTTTCTCAGAGCTCTAAGCAATAAGTAGGACAGTATCCATTTCTGCCTATTTCTTTTGTGCTCTTGATATTCAGGATTATTACTCAAAATGTTATTCAACTATAGTCTAGGTCAGAGGTTCTCAAATCATTTTGGTCTCAGGTTTTCTTTACACTCTTAAAAATTATGGAGGATTCCAAAAAGCTTTGGTTTATGTGGATTATATTCATTGAAATTTACTATAGGAGAAGTTAAAACGGAGAAAATTTTAAGACACAGGGCGAAACAAATATACATTCCATTAAATGATGATGTCATCACATTGGTCATGTAGCCTATACATTCATGGGCCTTGGAAAGTTAAAATAGCAAACAATATCTCAGTGTTATTTTGAAAATACAGATCCCAGAAAGGGTTCGTGGAACACTTCCAGGACTCCCCACCCTGCGTTTGAAAACTGCTGATCTAGGGTAATGTAAGCTCTAGTCAGTGAAATTATAAATAGCAAACTGTGTCAGCCTTTCCAGACTTATTTTCATATAAATGAAAATATATACAGTTGTCCCTCAGTGTCTGTGGGGGATTGATCTCAGGACCCCCAAAGGATAGCCAAATCCACTGATGCTCAAGTCTCTTATATAAAGTGGTATAGTCTTTGCATGTAACCTCTGCACATCTTCCTGTGTACTTTAAATTCATCTCCAGATTACTTGTAACACTAAACATAATGTAAATGCTATGTAAACAGTTGTTATACTGTATTGTTTAGGAAACAATGACAAGAAAAAAGTCTGTACATGATCAGTACAGATGGAGCCATTCACCTTTTTTCCAAATATTTTTGATCCACAGTGGTTAAATCCATGGATATGGATCCCACAGATATGGAGGGCCAATTGTATATGTAAAAAATAATACATTATTAATAAAAACAGAGTTACCTCCTTAGGATATGTATGACAGCTCTGCTCAGAAACGAGCTGTGTACTTTGACGGGGGGACTATTGAAAGCAGAGAGGAAAAATATCAAAGAGTCACCTTGAAGTTTCTTCTGTATTCTCCCTCTACACAGTTATGCCCTTACTTGGAACTGCAACTCAATGTGACTTGCAGTTTATTCGTGGAAACTGCTAGTAACCAATTCAGCTTGCTCTAGGTATGAATTTGCACCTAATAGATACATGCATCAAAAAGAGGGTATAACTGTACCATGATGTTGTATGTCATGTTTAGCAAAGTTCCAATGGTCCTGTAAAGAAGTCCATGCGTGAGAAGGCTGTTGAGAGAAGGAATGTCAATAAGGAGCACAATAGTAACTTTAAAGCTGGATACATTCCGATTGATGAAGATCGTCTCCACAAAACAGGGTTGAGAGGACGAAAGGGCAATTTAGCCATCTGTGTGATTATCCTCCTGTTTATCCTGGCTGTCATCAATTTAATTGTGAGTATATTGTACGGAATACTCCTTTTAATTTCCCTGGGGAATTTTTCATCTGCTTTATAGTGAAATCATAGACTTTATTTTCTACTTTTCTATACATGTTTTGTCTCTTATTGAATTTTAATGAATACTTTCCATATAAAAGCTTAGCATGCAAATATTTTCATATATTAATTTCATTTAGAAAAAAAATGTGCATGGATTTATCCCTTTAAGGGACTTAATTTTTAACAAGGGTGGAACTGTGAGGCTCCCAGCTAGCTCAGGTGGTACAGCATGAGACTTTTAACAAGGATAGGATTCACTCTATAGACAAGAACTTTGCCAAGACAATTTTATTGCTTTAACGTCTCCTTAAAAATATAATCCTTTATGTTTTCATTTAGCTTTTCCTACATTTAATGTTTCCTCCTCAGCTGGATTGCAAAATTGCAAACCCTTTGATGGCAGTAAAGGGTTATATCGTATAGTCCTAAATCCCTGCTGTCAAAGGATGCAAGGATCTGGTAGGCTGATTCACACTAAGGTACTGAGGACCTGATAGGATGCCTTTTCCAAAGATAGTTGCTTTTTTAATGATGAAATTCTTTTAATCTGAATTTGTGACTATCTGATACTCTTTGGCATGTGTGTGGACAGACATTTTCAGAGGGAATGATTATTGGTATACCTAAGACTGATCATGAACATGGTCTGCAGCAGTTTTAAAGTGATTATTTTGTGATGTTTCCTACTTGTAATGCATGCAAGGCAGTCTTTTTGTATTTATGTATGTCAAAAGCACTTCTGTCTAATTCTTCACTCAAATCAGAAAGACCTGTTCCTACATACCTCATTGTAGGTACTACAGATTTTTACTAGGAGCACAAATTCTGAATGGATTTTATTTTATAAATTTATTTTATTGGAGACTTCTGGTCAAGATGGCAGCATAAAGACATTTTATCTTCTTCTCTAAAAACTTTGTTCCAAAGAAATGTTAAGAAACAGAAATATCTTTGAAGAAAGTGGGAAGCAACTGGAATCCTCAAGCATAATATATGAAGACACAAAGTAGGAAGAACAATGGCAGATTGTTGATTGACTCTCAGAGAAGACAACCTGCTTGTTGGGGAGGGTATGTTGGTGGAAGTACACCTTATAGAACCCTAAAAGGCCTTGGGAATTAAAAACTCCAGTACCTTGAAAAGAGGAGTAAGGCAGCAACTGAAAACAGAGAAGTCGTTTAAAAAATCTGTATAAGAGGCAGTGAGATCCCTAGGCCTACTCTCCCTTCCAGCCAGCAGTTAGACAGCTACCCCTCCTAACGCCATACAAAACTAGTGAGTCTCTGAACACACTGGACCAGAGAGGATTCTTTCTGCCTGAAGATACTGGAGGGTAGGGGTTGGGTTTCTATACTGAAACAGGGAAGTCTCAGTCCTGAGACTCCCTTTCCCATGCTCTTTTATCCTCATCCTCCACCTCCAGCTCCCTGGCAGCCAGGCCAGAGACAGAAGAGCCTTCTCTGGGATTCCTGATGCATGTAGAAAAAAGATCTGAAGATACTGTCATTTGGCAAGTCCCAGTGAAAAAGCCATCTTATCTCCCTCTTGTGACACCTGTCAGTCACAAGCCCCACCCCTCAAAGAATTTTCTATGTATTCATGGCTAAGTATGAATACTGAGCCAGGGATCAATAGACTTTTGAGGAAAGTGCCAAGAATTGAAAAATGATAGAGTCTGAACCACCTAAACCGTGGAGAAAGTAGAAACTCATGGAATAGAGAAAATGCCACAAAAACGACCCAAAAAACTGAATTCAGTATTTTCAGAGAAATAAGAATATACTGCATCAATGAAACAAGAATAATATGCCGTTTAAAAGGAGCAAGCCAGACACAGTGGCTCATGCCAGATAAAGTGAGACTCTGTCTCTACCAAAAAAAAAAAAAAGGAACAATTAAGAACTCATAGAAATGCACGCACCTGTGCACACAGATGAATGGATGGGTGGTAGATGGATAGGTAGGTAGGTACGTAGATAGATAGATAGAACAGATAGAAGATATTAGAAGATAAAAAGAACTCAAAGTTTAACAAAATTAAGAAATCAATGCAGGAGACTGACACGCTGTTTAAAGGAGTTTCAGAAAGAGCACAGAAAGCACCGGTGGGGTGGGGCATGATCAAACACATAAATAAGAAAAATATTCTAGAACAGATTGAAAACTACCATTCTGGATCCCACGTAATGCATAAAAAAGACTCACCGAGGCCATTATGAAATTTAGGAAACCAGTAATAAAGATAAGATCCTAATATCTTCCAGAGGGGAGCAAAACATGAGGTTTATTCCTTTTATAAAGAATACACAATCAGAATGGCATAGGATCTCCTAAAAGCAGCATCGCGACCTGGAAGGCAATAAAGCAATGGCTTTCAAAATCCAGAAAGAAAAGAATTTTAAATCTAGAACTGTATACCTAGGCAGTCTAGCTATGAAATGTGAAGCATTATAAAGACATATTTTTCCCATGCACACTTTCCAAAAAATTTTACTTCTCATCCATTGCTTCTAAGGAAGCCACTGGAGGATGTGCTCTACCAAAAGAAAGACGAGGATATAGGAAACTGGGTGTCCAGCACAGAAGAAAGACAAAAGGAAGTTCAGCATGAAAGTAGGGAAAGTTTATGATTACAGCTGTGCAGGGAGTCCATACAGACCAGTCCAGAAAGATAGGGGTTCCAGAAAGATTTCCTGAGAGAGAAAAATAGAACTAATATGTTATCTCAGAGGCTTGGACCTACAGAAAATTGTATTGAAAGATTTTACAGACATATTATAGGATTTGAGATTAATTAGATTTTTAAAGAAACTAAGGAAATGAAAGGATTAAGCTCTGAGAGACATGGTACAGGAAAGAAACTGCCACTATCGGACAGTATTTGGTTTAGTAAGGAACAGTATTTACGTGGTTGTAATACTGAAAATAATGAACCTTGGATCTAACGAAAACTTGAGATTGGAGTTGGAAAAGAAAAGAGATATAAATGAGCTAAATTTCTCATCTGCCAAAATAGGAAATTGATAGATAAAGCCTAAAATTGATAAATGAAGAAATAACAGCATACATATACTTAGAAATACGGAGATAAATTCTAAATGAAATAGCTAAGTTTGTTGAAAGTGGTTGTTCCTCGGAATGAGATGTGGATAGGGTAGAAAAATAATTTAAATTATGGACCTTTTAGCACATTTTGGCTTTCAGCTATTTGCATATAATACTTTAATAAAAATTAAAGTTGGTTTTGTTTCTAAGTGGAAAACAAATTGATATTTATGTCACTGATTAAACTTAGGAGGTCTTTAACATTTTGGTGATAATATTTTCTATTTGTTTTCCAATTACACTAAACATATGCTCCTACCAACAGTGGACCTGTGTTCTTTTTCAGATAACACTTGTTATTTGGGCTGTGATTCGCATTGGACCAAATGGCTGTGATAGCATGGAGTTCCATGAAAGTGGCCTGCTTCGATTTAAGCAAGTATCTGACATGGGAGTTATCCATCCTCTTTATAAAAGCACAGTAGGAGGAAGGCGAAATGAAAATTTGGTCATCACTGGCAACAACCAGCCTGTAAGTTGCCACATTCACTGAAAGAAATGCAAACAGTAGAGGGGCATTAGATAGAGGAAAATTCTTTGCAAAAACCTAGAGTTTATTATTGTAAAGAGATATTTTCCTTAGAAAAATTAGTATATTTATAATATATCTATAAATGTATGAATATAGTGAATACAGTTTAGAAGATATCCATAAATATAAATATTTAGTAATATTATTGCTTTTATAATCTGTTGAAATTAGATGCTTTCTTCATATTTGAGATTTTGTTCAATGGTAGCATTTTCTATGACAGATATAATTAGTATGAGAATACAGGTTACTCTTTTCTCCTCCATACGAGGAAGCCATTAAAGCACTTTCCCAGGTGAGGATACTCTGTAGTTTTGGAACTCTGGAAGAGAATATGCCAATCTTGGCATCTCATGCCAAGAGTTGAAAACTATGTTTTCAACTGAATAAAACCTCAAGGAGGTATTCTTACCACCATCCCTGCCCATCTTAGGCCTTGGACCATATTTCTCATGACTCATGTATTTGTGCAGAGCAAGTAAGCAATAAACAGATAAGCCTTCTTTCTAAAGAACCCTTCTTCCAAGTGGGTAGAGGGAGGACAGACCCAATTAAAAGTATTTGAAGTTAGTCTATTATTGTGGTTTTTAAATTGATGTATTTTTTGTAATTTTTAAAATATAATGTTCAAGAATTTTGTTTGCAGTCTTCCTTGAAAATATATTCACAATAAACTGTTGTTTTTTTTTTTAAAAAGATTGTTTTTCAGCAAGGGACAACAAAGCTCAGTGTAGAAAACAACAAAACTTCTATTACAAGTGACATCGGCATGCAGTTTTTCGACCCAAGGACTCAAAATATCTTATTCAGCACAGACTATGAAACTCATGAGTTTCATTTGCCAAGCGGAGTGAAAAGTTTGAATGTTCAAAAAGCATCTACTGAAAGGGTATGATTGATTGGCTTTGCTTTGCTAATGGGAGAGTTATTCTCTACAGTTACAAAGAGGGAGGAGAGTTGTACCATTTTAAAGTAGTATGAAAGAATATATTCCAGAACACTGGAAAGGATTAATTCCAGATTTGTCATTAACTAGCTTCTGTGATCAGTATCACGTCACCTTTCTTTATCTCAATTTCCACATCTCTAAAACATTAATATAAACATTTGAGTTTCATATCTCATGACTGAAACTACTATTTCTCTATCTCTGATAACAATTCTTACATTAATTTAGAAACTCTTTTTAGTACTTGTTTTTTAAATTTTCAGATCACCAGCAATGCTACCAGTGATTTAAATATAAAAGTTGATGGGCGTGCTATTGTGCGTGGAAATGAAGGTGTATTCATTATGGGCAAAACTATTGAATTTCACATGGGTGGTAACATGGAGTTAAAGGCTGTGAGTATTCCTTTAAGAGCATAAGAGAATTATTAGGTTCTTGGATACATAAAACCATATGTGGAATATTGTACAATTATTGAAGATGATGATATAATTGTCTATTTTTTTGACATGGAAAGATGGTCAAAGTGGGTTGTGAAGTAAAAGAAAGTTACAAAACAATTTGTGAAATACATTCTTTTTATCTTTCAGAACGTATGCATGTTTATATTTATAAAAACCTGGCAGGGTATGTCAAAAATGTCAACAATATTTAGCTATGGATAGCAAAATAACAGACGATTTGTTCTATTTTTATTTCTATTAGTCTGTATTTTCTCTTTCTCTCTCTCTCTTTCTTTTTTTTTTTTTTTTTTTTTGGTATAGTGATCACTTGGATTACTTTAGAAGGCACAAAAAAAAACCTTCTAAAAGAGAATTCTGGAAGATCAAAGTAAATATTCATGCCTTAAAGTTTTTTTTTTAATTAAAGATTTTTTAATTAAATCTTTAATCCCTTCCTGGGTTTTATATCAAGTGATGTGAAAAAAAGCAATTAGCAAATGTATAAAATTATTTTATTTAGACATTCTTATTAAAATGTATTTTAATCTATTATTAATTATAAAGGAAAAAGGTTTTTCTTTATTGTGGCTGTCGAAAGTGAATTTTCTGTGCTTAACAGATGATATCTGAGCTTTAACAAGCATGGTATTTCATGTGCCATAATTCCAAAAACTTTTTAATGACTCACAATTCTGGTCAAAATATACTTATTCAAAATGCCTTTGTGTACCTACAATATGCTATTTTACTAAAGGTAATGAAATTTGTCGTACCAAGTGTTACATGACAAGTGAACTTAAACGTAAGGACTTACCATTCTTTCTTATTTAAAAAATTTCAATTTCATAGTTCTTGGGGGGAAAAGCTTTTTAAAAGTAGTTGTTTCACTTTTATAAGCAGTTTCCCCTACAACACATAATCCCATCTCTAAAAAATAAAGATGAACATAAAACGTAATTCTTGCCAGGAACTCAGTTGCCTACCGAGTTAATGTGTACATATATTGTGGTGTAAGAAGCCATTCTTCTAAGAACAGTCAGAGGGTAGCCACTGTAACTGCTGTTCTCAGCACTGGAAAGTTGCAGAAGCAAGAGATTTGTATAGAGACCATTAGCAAGTTACCAAACCGTTTATTTTTTTCTACCTGCCATGTCTGGTCCCATTCTACCTTGCAGTAAATATGACAAATATTTAAATACTTTGAAATAGACATATACACATATCAGTTTCTCCACTGTTAATGGAAAAGAACCTAGTATTTAAATGATAATTATCTTTATAACTTAGTTAATATCAGTGGTTAGTTCTAAAGTGTATACGCCAACCATTAGAAATAATTTTATTAAACTGCTGTTTTGAAAAAGCTGTTTAACAATTTAAAGAAAGTAAAATTAAATGACCACAAGATGGCAGCATTGGAACAAAATTGGAAAACTAGTCACGAATTAAGGTCTATTCCATCTACTAACACTGCATAATCAATTAGCATTTCCATTATTTATAACCAGTTTTCTCTCTTTGCTTCAGATACCCTCTGTAAGCTGATGCCTTCCAAATTTGGAATTGTGCCTCTGAATTAAGACTTGCATATCCAGCTGCCTGCTTACCTTCTCTATTTTGATATCTGGTAGACATCTCAAATTTAGCAAGTTGAAAATCTTGATATCCTCTCTTCCTCACAAGCATGCATTTCCAATTTTAGTATATGTGCTGCCGAAGCGAGCACAGCATGCATTTTCCTCAGTACTCCTGTACCATTAAATGACACCCATCAGGCCATAGCAAAGCCTTCTGGCTCACCTTCAGAAAATACAGAGTCTGGCTGTTTCTCACCACCTCCACCATCACCACCCTGGCGTAAACTGCCATCATTTCCTGCCTGGATGGTTGGAGCAGCCTCCTGGCTGACCTTCTTGCTTCCAAACATTCACCCCCATAATCTGTTCTCTACCCAGCAGCCAGAGTGGTCATTTTAAAAAGATCGTGTCATTTCTCTGTTCAGAATCCTCCAAATGACTTCCTGTATAATATGGAATAAAATCTAAAGTCCATTCCCTGCTTACATGTCTGATACCCAGTTATTTCTTCGACTCATCTCCTATCAGCTGCTCCCCTTGCCCTCCGTGTTCCATGCATACTGGCCTCGTAGCTGTCCCTGGAACCCAGGCACATCTTCACCTCGGGGCCTTTGCAGGCACTGTTACCTCTGCTTGGAGTACCCTTCCCCAGTTACCTACGCAGCTTCCTCCCTCACTTCCTCTAGTTTCTCTTGGAATGTGACCTTATCAGACTACATGTGGTCCTTCCTGAGCTCCCTGTGTAAAACGCAGTCCCCACCTGCTCATGCTCTGTCTACTTATCCTGCTTTATATCCCCCCCGTAGCATTCATCCCACCTGATGTCATATGTGATTTGCTGCTCTTTTTTATTGTCTGCGCTTACCCATTAAAGCATCAACTCAATAAGAACTTGGGCTTTGCCTATTTTATTTACTGTTGTATTCCCCAGCACCTAGAATAGTGTCTGGCACATAGCAGGCACTCAGTAATTATTCGTTGAGTGAATAAAAGGAAGAAAGGAGGAAAGGGAGAAAGCAAGGAAAAGAGAGGCCTTAGAGTCCCTAAAAAGAAAGGATTTTAAGGAACTACAATACAAAAGTGTTTCTGGGACACTGGGCGTGAAGAACCTCCAGACAGTTTCCTTTTGAGTGCCTGGTCCATTCGCAGTGTTGCAAAACATTGGAAATTAAAATTAATTCCCTCTATGGGGAAAAGTCTCTTTGTACTCATGATCACAAACTTACCAATCAGTAACTTTGTTATAGTTCTCTTAGGACTTAACAAATGAAAATGATCTGAAACTTTATCAGCATCCATTTTATTATGCACTTAGGAATTTCTATTTAATTTTAATTAATAAATTATGTTGCAGGTTTACTAACATACATTACGGATGTATGAAGCAGTGAAGTCACTCGTTGAATCTTGATATTGAGTTTGTTTTTGTTGTTGTTGCTGTTGTTTTGGTCGTGACTTTACTCTTTCTTACTGCCTTCTTTTCTCATTGATATTTCAGTAAATTTTATTGATTTTGTTCTGTACCGTTCTGGGAGGTAAATAAATATATTACTATTCTCCTAATAGGAAAACAGTATCATCCTAAATGGATCTGTGATGGTCAGCACTACCCGCCTACCCAGTTCCTCCAGTGGAGACCAGTTGGGTAGTGGTGACTGGGTGCGCTACAAGCTCTGCATGTGTGCCGACGGGACACTCTTCAAGGTGCAAGTAACCAGCCAGAACATGGGCTGCCAAATCTCAGACAACCCCTGTGGAAATACTCATTAGAAGAACCCAGAGGTCATCAACATGTTTATATCTTGACTTGACTGTTTTATGCATGCAAATCATTGTTTTTACAGAGTATGTGATAACTCATAATTATTTTAACGACAGAGCACTACTGTATCTGCTATACGGTCTACATCGTTAAAATCTCTGAGAGCCGACATTCTAATACATTTTATTAAGTTGCACTAATTTTCATATTTACTGTTCTCTAAAATAATTATGAGAAGTGAATATAATCAAAATTAATGTTTAAAGAAGTGTTTTTAAAATTCCACTAACCCTTTTCTAATGGACAAAGGGCTGAAGCAGCTGTTTAGACTCACTGTAAGTAAACTTTGTTAACTCTAATAGGGATAGACCCACGTGAGGTATTGGATATTTTATGCTCTGCCTTTTGGCTTCTGAAAGCAAAGATGCAGATTTCTAGTGCATTAAGCTTGAGCCATATTCTCACATGCAAGTGAAGTCATTGAAGAACTTTACATATGCAAGATAGAAACAGGGGTCCCTTAATTTTGCTCTAGGAAGAAAATATTTCGTAATAGAATGTTTATTTTAAATAATGATAAACGTCAAGTGTTCACAATGTGGTAGAAATTAAAATACCATCTCAGCTTTAACTCTTAAATAATAATGATAGCCATCTTTACTGGGCATATTCTACATCCTAGGCATCGCATGTTTAATATCCCTAATTCTCACCCCAACCCTGCAAGTAGCGGGTATTATCCAAGCTTTACCTATTAAGAAACTGAAGATCAGAGAAGTTAAGAAACTTGCCCAACATCACATAGTGAGTAGCAGAGTTGGGACTGGAATTCAGGCGTGATTCAAACCTGGATGTGCTTGATTCCAAATGCCATGCTGTTTTCACTGTCTGCACTGACTTTTTAATTATTTGAAACTCCAGAAAGATGAATGAAGATTAATTTAAACTTACCCAAGAAAATGAGACTCATACAAAACAGATGTTTACTCTACTTAAAAAGAAAGTAAGTCTCATGTCAGACCCAAAAAGGATCAATCACTGTCAGATTTTAAACTATGTTGAGCCAATTCCAAAATATACCATGGAGAGGTCAAATTTACCTACTTGTGAGTTACCTCAGTTTCCCAACCAACGGGCCTTGGCACACTGGAGTAACAATGCTTGACAGAGTTGCCATGATATTTATACCCTCAGCCCTCAGGGCGACACAGTGGAAAGTGGGGAGGCCGTAGACCCAAGCAAGTCCTACGGGCCAGGCATGGCCCGGTTAAGTATACAATGCCTTGAAAATAAGTCCGGAAGCACTGGACTAAAGAGTGCAAATGCAGGAAAAAATACACATAATTTTTAGGTAAGGAAAGTAATTTATCTCTGCTCCTAATATTACTATCCCACTATAATTATTGATAACCCTCAAACCAGTTGATTTTTTAATATATTTGATTGGAAAAGAACTCTCTGGTATTATTAAGACTTACACAGAATCAGGGGCAGGGCCCTCAAAGGAGTTTGCTGTCCAATAGACAGTAGAGATGAGGCATCGGCCCATCCCTGCATTCAAGTGTAACAGCATTCTGTTAGGGTCACTTTGAATTGTGTACATAAGAAAACCAATACAAAAAACAATTAGTACTCAATATTGTAACATTTCTCTCTGGTAGAAAAATCAAATACCTTAGAGATATGAAGTCATTAAATTATACTGAAATTGGATTGACTTACTACCTAACACTGAGCACAGTTTTTAACTGAGATTTATAACCTCTGAGTGGTGTTGCAGTGATATTTGAACTCATTTGAATATATTCAATGTCATTTAATATCAGAATTATAGTCAGAAAAACAATTGCCAGAATTTTCTTTCAGATGCTCAGTAAATTAAATTGCATATTCATTACTTGTCTGCTCTATTTAGATTTGCTTTAAAAGTTTAAGTAAATATTTTTACAAAAACCAGAAACACTATATTACAAAGTATTATTTATTAAATGGAGTTCATGAAATAATCTATTTTTACTCTTTTTTGAGAAATACTTGTGTTTTCGATACATCCGCATTAAGTGCTTTTGACACGAGAGGCTATTCTGATGTTTTTCTAGAACTGATTGTTATCAGGAATAGTATTTTAGGATACTTTACAGGTAGTCCTGGCTTTTTCCCTGAAACGTAGACTTGGAAAATCTACTGGAAAGCAGAACAGGAACAAATTCTTTATTTTACTTATGGCTTGTTTTTATTCACAGTAAAGCTTCAACAACTCTTCATCTCCACCAGATGGTATTTTTCTATAAACTGAAATGCTGACTTTGCCCCTTCCTGCTGTACACTCATCCCTGCACTGAGCACAGAGATGACAAGCAATAGCCACGGGAGAGGTGGGAGACAAAGATAGGACCCCAGGAGGGGGCGCAGGTACACGCTAGTTTCAATTACCACAGTATTCTAGAGGCAGGCTGCAATGACAAGGGGGCAAATGAAATCAATGCCAGATTTCTTACAGACTAATGGGCAGACAGGAAAAATGTAAAACAACACAAAACAGGGACTGCCTATAGTATTTTAAAATATACTTATTTGTGTTTTTTTGCATTGTAAAAAAAAACAAAATAAATTTTGTGTGATAGTTTTGATGATGAAAGGTAGAAGATCTACCTAGTTTTGAATGCGTGCTTTTTTTAAGGGAATGAGAATGTCATGGTGCTAAACTTGACAAAGAAGAGACCATTGAAATGCTGAAAATGTTAGCAGTATTCTTAAAAGTATTGAGGGGGCAAAGATGACCAATTATGCCATACAAAAATAAGCCTATAAATGTGTTTCAGGTTGCTAACTTGAGTTTCAGTTAATTCAGTTTGTAATAACTAGTAATGAACTTCTGTTTACAATAAAAATTCTGTAAATGGTTTGCTGTTAATTTTTTGATGGTTATATATTAACTGGTTTCTGCTTAGTCATGCAAATGTGGTAAATTTAAATATGGATTGAAATGGGACACTGTCAGTATTTATGTAATCTCTCTGGACTCCTAGAACTCAAAGTTAGAAAGCTGTCCATTCCCAGTTTTGAATGCCCTCCCCTCTGTTCGTTGCAAAAGGCCTCTCTCCAGTACTGCTTCCTTAGTGTCCCAGGGGAAGGTGCACACTGTCACCATGGCAGGAGGCCAGATCCGGAGATGAAAGGGTGAGGGCTGGCCACTGGGCAGCCTTGATGGCAGGATGGGTGGAGCCTCAAAGGCTCAGGTCTTAAATCCCCACCTGGCTTGATCCAGATATCCACCCATTTGAAAACCACCTAGGATACAAAGGTATGTCTTAGAAGCAATGTTACTTACCAGATCTTGTCCTCAGCCAAAATAGCCTCTGTTGCTTTTTTCCTTCAGTTTTGCAAACCTTTCTTTCTTTTATGTACAAATGAACTCTTCACTTCCTTTCTATAACACTTTGTTTACTCTGCTGCCTTCTTCCTATGTTTCACTCACTGACATACACACCCAGTATTTCTAACTGCTTCCTCATACTTGTGCTTGACTATGTCCATTCTGAAATTTACATTTTACCTAATTGTTTCCAGTTTCGTCAGCAACTTGTTCTGGAGTTCTCAGTGGTTCCTTACCTAATACATATAAATTTATAAATAGTATAATTTTTTTAGAAATTAATACCTTTCACTTTAAGATACAAGATTGTCCTTGTCTAGCTGATTTGAACTTAAACCTATCATGTATAAATCTGTGCAACTTAGAAAGAACCAGGGCAATTTTAATTCATGTCAGCTTAAGAAAAAGTATTTTTCAACCATGTCTTTCTCTTCAGTACTACAGAATAATGTACCTGTGAATGATGACTATGTTTTTTTGTTGCTGATGTTGTTAGATTAGCTTGGTACACAATTGTATATATAATGATTTCAGCTTTGAATGTAGAAACAAATATCTTTCTTCCTGGGCAAATCAATTCAATTTCTGGTATTACATAAAAAGCACACTACAAAAATAAATCACTCCTCCATGCTGTAGGGCACCTTTGCAGTTCATGGCCATGTGTACCTGAATTTAGATGCCCTTGAAAATAAGGGAGGATTGACATTGCATGAAACAAAAGTTTTAAAGTGACATTATAAATTTCATTCACTTCATGTATTTATTTAAACACAAATAGCATAACCCAGTGACAGACTTCAGGCTATTAAAAATATAAAACACTAGATAGATAGATAAATAGATACATAGATAGAGATAGATAGATAGATATGTTCCTTCTTTTAGGGATCTCAGAACACATACAAAACAAAGCAGTAGCAATGCTGAATGTTACCAACGTGTATTCATTCATTCAATATTCACTGAAAGATTTCTGTAAACATTACGACAAATACTGAGGCTAAATCAGGAAAAAGGACCAGGCCATAGGATGTGAGATGAGTGGAAGGATACGTAAGACTGCGGCTAACAGGAGAAGGCATTGAACTTGGAACTGGGAATGAGCTGAAAGTGAATTTCAGCATGAGATATGCATGTATTGTTCTTTGCACAATCACATCTTGTAGGCTCCACAGGCACTTATCAAGCCAGGTCATAAGTGTAGCTAGATAACACAGGGCTTTAAATACCAACCTGAGGGATTTGGACTATACGCAATAAGGAGCCCTTTGAGGATTTCAAATGAAGAAATAATAAAGGAAAAAACATTATTGTAGGAAAATAATCCTTTGGAATCACCTAGGATGGATCAAGAAGAAGGGAAGTGAAGAGGCAGAGACAAGAAAATCAGTTAAATCATTTTAGCATTTCAGACTGCAGTGATGAAAGCTAAACTGAGTGCTATTAGAACAGAAAGGAAGGGATGGGCGGTTGGAAACTCTTATACTGAATAATGTGATTATTTGTACACACGGTGGTTTTTAAGTGGAATTTAGTTTAAAATCACAAAAATTATCCATCTTTAAAATAATTTCTGTGATACATTCAGCCATTGTAATTTATACTTCTTTTTTTATAAACTTTCCATTCTCAAGAATTTTTGGTACAAAAGATACTTAATGTTTCTGTATCTTATTACATCTTCATGGTTTGGCGCCAGAACATATATTTGATAACACATTATGTTGCATATATCTAAATGATTTCATAATGATTTGAAAAGTCGCAAAAGCCACACAGCAAAGCTTATGTTTCTTCTATTTATGAAAAATAAGAGCCTCTTTTGTGAGTTGAACTTTTTACTCATAGAGTTATAGAGGTCCATGGTTTAGTGTAACTGGTTGTCATTCATGTAATAAACCACATGGCTGATTACAATGCTGCAGATAAGCATAATAGACTTTGCTCTGTATTCATGGCCTGCAAAGAAACAGAGAAGTCTCTAATCTTAGTAAGGCTTTATTCATCCCAAAGCACACTGTGGAGTGAGCAATACTGGAAAAGCAGAGGTGAGGCCTAAGTGAATATGTATGTCCTTTCTTTAAAATGCGACATAAGTGTAATTTTATGCTATAGTTATGTCATTTTGGTAGCTACATTTTCATGCCCCAATATCTAATAAATCAAACATTTTCTTAAATTGGCAACCAAGGCAAGATAACTTTCCTAAATCTTAAATTGAAAATTAAATTTTCTGCTTCTTATTTTCTGTTAGTTTTTATATATTATTGTGAATAAGTCCATTTTTTTTCCTTTTTCCAGGCATTATGAAAAACCTCTATTTCAAAGTCATTACCATAGTTATAGGTCTTTATTTTACTGGAATAATGACAAAGGCATCAAGAAAAAGCAATATTTTATTGAATTCTGAATGCCAATGGAATGAATATGTTCTGACAAATTGTTCTTTTACCGGAAAGCATGATGTACCTGTGGACACATCACAGACAGCAGCCACCGTGGATGTAAGTTTTGGTTTCTTTAGAGTTTTCTTAGAGTGTCACACGAAAAAAGAAGAATGGAAAATAAAACATCTGGACCTCAGTAACAATCTCATATCAAAAATAACCTTAAGCCCTTTTGCATATTTACATGCTTTGGAAGTGTTAAACCTCAGCAACAACGCCATCCACTCCCTCTCATTGGATCTACTCAATCCTAAATCCTCATGGGTAAAATGCCACAGAAGCGGTTTCAGAAAGAGGTTTCCATTGCTGAAGGTGCTCATTCTTCAAAGAAATAAACTCAGTGACACTCCCAAGGGTGAGTACAATTTTGACTAGACAGAGAAACAGTGCTTGCACGCAGTTGTTTCATGTCCATAAGGATTCTACCTTTGTTTTCAGGTTCAAGGAGACAGCTGAAAGGACAGTAATTTGATCAGAGCACATATAATAAAGTTTCTTGTGGCACTGGAGGTTACAGTATGCGAAATTTACAGTTAATGCAATTTAGTTTTCCATTAATATATCTGACATTAATGTTACATGCATTTATTGAGACACTAGGAAATATTTAAGTGCTAAATAATAATGAGTGATTTTAAGTTACCTACTTTGAGCATCATATGTTTGTTAATATAGAAAAGCACTGAGAAATAACTAGTTCAAATACATTTAATGTATAAGGCAATTCAAATTAAATGTTGCCATATTAGTAATATTTTTCTTTTTTGAGTACATTTTGCCTCTTTCTATCTAGTTGTCCTCCAAAATACAGAAGAAGTATCCTAATATGATAGATTGGTATGTAAACCTTCTGATTATCAAGTCAAAATCAGAATTCCTTATCCTAGTTTCTAATAGGGTACTCCAAATCACCTCTTATTATCATAAATTCTCATCTGACATTCAATAGTCTATACATGTTGGAGTTTCTTAATGGATACACCAATGTTTTCTTTAGAGAATGTACCAAGTTCATAAAGCAAAACTTCCTTTGCCCTTTTTATATTCCAGAGTGCTAGACAATTAATATCCTTTCCTTGTTTGTTTTCAGTCTTGTTCACTCTTTGCTAAGCACCTACTTTATATAACACTATGCAGAAAAAGAAAGTATAAGGATATTGTCCTCTTTCTCCATTCCAAGTTGTGCATATTTTTCTTATTACCCAGTTCTGATATTTCATGTTTTTATTTTCATGCTCTTTCTCCAGCTTTGTTATAAGCCTCATTTTGGCAATAATAGCCTAGCAGGTATAGGAATTAATCCAGTCACTATGTCAGCAGAATTGTGTGAGAAGCATGGGAGTCTTCTCTCCCTGACCTTCTCCATAAAAGTAGTGTGTCATATTTTCAGTGTAAATGAATTGCATTTTATTTTATGATTTTTATTGTATTGTTTTTATTACAAAAAGAATACCTATTACTTATAGAACATTTAAAAACTGAAGAAAAATTTAAAGGGAAAAATTTAAGTCACTCATATATATTCTTCAAGTTTTTTATTCCTATTTATGCCTTTTTATTTCAAAATTGGATCATTCTGTCCATATTTCTAATTTGTATTTTTATATCATAGAATATTTTAATGTCTTTATATAATTAAGCAATCTCATAAATATTTTAAATAGTTGAATAGTTTTTATATATGCATATATTGTAATTGGTTTAATCAAGCACTAGGTTATTTCCAGGTTTTGTTTTTTGATGGACGTCCATACAGCTACATATATCCGTATGATAAAACAAAATTTTTTAACTGGTTTGGTAGATGTGAATCTTAATCCACAAATTCAAGTGTACTAGAGATAAAACCTTCTCAGATGACTGGCGTGAGGGCAGAGGATCAGGCACCGCGTGTTCTCACTCATGGGCAGGTGTTGAACGGTGGGAACACATGTACACAGGGAGGGGAGCACTTCACACTGGGGTCTGTTGGGGAGAAATAGTGGGGGGACAGCGGAGGGTGGGGAGTTGGGAAGAGATAACATGGGGAGAAATGCCAGATATAGGTGAAGGGGTTTTTTTATTATTATCTTAAAAAAAAAGCCTTCTATTGTTTGTAGCAACATAATTTCTGATTCTGAGCCCCCATTAGGGGAGTCATAGGGATAGTTAATTAACATCAGTCTTTTTTTTTTTTTTCCGAGACAGAGTTTCACTCTTGTTACCCAGGCTGGAGTGCAATGGCGCAATCTTAGCTCATTGCAACATCCGCCTCCTGGGTTCAGGCAATTCTCCTGCCTCAGCCTCCTGAGTATCTGGGATTACAGGCACACGCCACCATGCCCAGCTAATTTTTTGTATTTTTAGTAGAGACGAGGTTTCACCATGTTGACCAGGATGATCTCGATCTCTTGACCTCGTGATCCACCCGCCTTGGCCTCCCAAAGTGCTGGGATTACAGGCTTGAGCCACCGCACCCAGCCTAACATCAGTCTTTCATCAGCTTTCCTCTGCCTTTGCCGGGATTTGTACCCAGTTCTAGAATCGTATACTCTTAACAAAGCATCGAGGCCTGCATGTTCCTTACCCCTGCTACCCAGAAAATATTACTTTTCAGTCTTTTCAGTTTGGAGAACATTTCTTCTCCCCTTTTTTTTTTTTTTCTGTCTTGAAAACACTTTCTTCTAAAGGTTTACGGTTTTGGAAAACAAAAGCCAGAAAGACTTGTAGACTTACCTACTTTCTGCCTTGCCATGTGCCTTCCTTGGGACAATGAACATGGAGCCTACTTTCTGTGTGACTGGAGAGAAAGAGCAAGTGGAAAATATAGGGAGGGAAGAGATTAACGTGTCAAAATATTACTCCACCACAAGAGTGAATAGAGAAGTGCTGAGTTTCTCTCTTCAGGGCAGATGCATTCCCCTGAGCTAACTGCGGGTTGGGACAAGTACAGTTCCACTTAAAGACCAAATACCCCTGTAAATGCAGATACCGATCCATGTTCTTTTTTGAGTTAAGCTTCTACCTCCCAAAAGATCAAGAAACATGTTCAACTTGAAGAGCAAAGAAAAAAAGAAGTGAAGTGAGCAAATTCTATATCTGAAATTCTATTAAAATTCTAGCAAATGAAACCATAGAGAGATGAGCAACAGAGTTGGATGTTGGAAGTTCAGTATAAGCCATGAATCTGATTGGATATAATTCAGGGTTCTTTTATCCATAGTATTTTGTGATTTAAATTATTTTCCCATAATCATCATGTTAGTGTTTACTAGTTTGAATCTCCTCTAACAACTTTTCCTATTTTATAGTTCTGTGACTATGGCTGAGTCACTCTAACTTCGAAATTCCATGTTGAAGGAAATTGCTGGTAAGAGAGATGCTGCCTAGGACACTACCCTATCTTTGTTCTTCAGTTCTTCACTCTAAGTCTGTCTAGAGGTGACATCTGGATAATATAAGATTTACTCATCAGATCGTTCTGAGGATTAAATGAAAATATGTATCTCAAGGACCTAACCTAACATGGTGTTTGGCATAAGAAATAGTGGCAATTTAAATATGTAAAAAGCACTTCAAAATTTTGTGAATTACCTTGCAAATGCTAGTTTTTATTCTCTTGGAACAAATTGAGAATAACAGTATATTTAGAAATAAATTATATGTTTTTGTCTAAATCTAAAGGTTTGTTTGTTTGTTTGTTTTGAGATGGAGTTTCACTCTTGTTGCCCAGGCTGGCGTGCAATGGTGCCATCTCAGCTCACTGCAACCTGTGCCTCCTGGGTTCAAGCGATTCTCCTGCCTCAGCCTCCTGAGTAGCTGGGATTATAGGAATGTGCCACCACGCCTAGCTAATTTTGTATTTTCAGTAAAGACAGGGTTTCTCCATGTTGGTCAGGCTGGTCTCAAACTCCCGACCTCAAGCGATCTGCCCACCTCCGCCTCCCAAAGTGCTGGGATTACAGGCATGAACCACCGCACTCAGCTTCAAGTTATTTTTTTAAATGTTAAACAGCTATTGCAGTAGTAGCCCACTATAATTCATGAGCAGATAATTATTTGTGTCTGACTATATAGACACTTGCAGTCATCTAAAATAATAATAATAAATTAGGGAGATTTCAGAAAGCAACAGTTAAGCAAGCTCCGTAACTATGTACCACATATTTTTAAATGGTGGCTGTCTCTAGAACCAACGAAAAGTTACTTTCACTTAGGAAAGCCCACTTTTGAAAGATTGAGATATCACATGGACTAACCCTGACTTCAGAGTCAGCTGTGGTGTCACCAGTAAGCTTCATGTTGGGAAAACACCCAGAAGAGGTGCTGCCAATAAAATTGATAAAGCAGACTCCAGCCAGGAATTTAATCAGAATGGTGCTTCCACCTTCCTCCCATATTTTTGGAGTACAGCATTAATAACTGAAAAACTAGTGTAAAAAACATGAAAACAATGGGATCAGTCTCTGGTTACTCTGTCTTACCTTCATCAAGCAATATTTTTGAAGTGCACACAGAGTACCTAGAAACGTAACAAGGTCTTGTTGGGATTCTGGTTGGGCTGATACACCAAATGTAGCAACCTCACATTAACCCACTAAGTTCCAGAATCCAAGAGATGAATGTGTCAGAAATAAGATGAAATGATACCTAACATTTGAAACTGATGGAATTAAAATAAAAATACACAGTGTATTATAAAAAACAATATTGTGTTCCATTCATAGAAAATTAAAGATTTCATCCTGATTGCTACTGGATTATGGAATTATCAATATGCAATGTTCTCAAAACTAATTCAGGTTCTAAAGAAACAAAAAGTATATAAGACATTAAACTAAGAAGGCAACGCCTTTGGTTCACCTGCATAATTTGACCACAGTAAGATCTGACCTAATGAATCAAATATCTTACCCAGGCCCATTCTAGACTCTATTTCAATTCCTATTGCTCTTCAGACTAAAAGCCATAATCCTGAATATTCTTGCTTTATGTTATCAGGTTGTCACACTGGGAGAGCGTTTAAGAAGTTCATAGTACAGAGGGAGTATTTACTAAGATAGTGCAATGTCTGAGTATCCTTTCTGTTGCCTTTTTTCTGATAGACACATTATTTCTTGGAAACAATAAAACTGCCTCTAGCCACTTAAATGCAAAGGGTAATAAAATTCCTGCCTGCAATGGCCTATGTAATCATTAGAAAGCAGTTCAATTAATAATTCCCTTTCCACAAAGAGAATTAGGTACCACTATATTTTCCTCCCAGCATTCAGCTCTCCTCTCTTGAAAAATAAAATCTACCCCTGATGTCAGGGATGAATGCACCATGTAGCCTCTTTCACTCATCTGACTACCTCCTAAACATTGACTCACCAA